GAACCCACTAGAACTGCTCAGACAAAAGATCAGAAGGTACAGGAGCAGAGTGTTTGGGGACATTTCACTGAAGGATAGATGGCTAATACTCCCCCCATGCTCCAACACAGACCACCTTTTTAGTAGCATCTCCTAGAAAGCCCCATTGAGTACGTGACGCTCCAACAAATACTGCAGAAGGTGGGACAACATTAAGAATGGGGGCTCCGCATCAGCTTTTGGGGTTTGAATCCTGGCTCCTTCCCTTTCTAGTTGTGAGAGATTGAGCAAATTACTAAACCTCCCTCAGCCTCAGTATCCTCACCTATGAAATGGGGATGGTGAATTCAAAACAGTACCTGGCTCACGGGGTTGTGTGAAGACCAGATAAGATACTGCCTTCAGCCCAGAGTTTGGCCCCAAAGTATGTTCTCAATAGATGTTGGCTGCGAATAGTGACAAACCAAAGGGACAAAGGTCACCGATTACTGCTATCTGCTGTCTTCCCCCATTCCTCCCTCAAGGACAGAATCCATGTCCTCTGATAGCACTTTTTCTATGACACCCTTCTTGTCTCTTTCTGTAAACTCGCATAGCATGTTACCTGGACTTCTCTTTTATTTAATGTAACAAACCTTTATAGTACTTACTATGTGCCTGCAGACTGAGCTAAGTGCCTTTAAAATATTAACTCCCTTATTCCTCACAATAACCCTTGGAGGAAGTATTAATATCACTCCCATTTTACAGATGGGAAAACAGGCAGAGAGTTAAGCAACTTGCCTGAGAGAGGTAAGTACTAAGTGGCAGAGCTGGAGTTTGAACCCAGGCTGTCCACACTTTCATGCCCCTTTCAATGTTGGAGCTTGGTGGGTTGTTTTGTTTTTATGATCTTGTCCTTGCTCCCTGAATACATGTGAGATCCTTGGAAGCACTGCCTGTGTGATCCACTCAATATACGCTTACTAAGTGATTAAAATCACATTGTTAATTGATGCAAATTCATCCAACCCCAGAAGGCTCTACCTGGGACCTAAATAGGAAAGGAGTGCGTTGCTCCAGAGGCTGAAATGGGCTCGGGGTGGGGAGGCTGCAGCAGTAACTGAAATAACTGACAGGAAGCAATAGCGGGAGGGGCTAAAGGGAAAACAGAAAGTAATGTTACCTTTGCTCTAAAGAGCCCCAGCCAACAAGACAGGACTAATTAAGGCTTCTAAACTTTAAAACTGAAATGAGGCTGAGTGAGGCTACTCTCGAGGGAAGATCCACTGGGTCCTGTTGCTTTGGTTGGCACTCGCTGTACATTATAGTGAAGTTTAGTTATGAACCAAACTGCCAGCGTGTGGGGACTAGACTACGTGTGCATAAAATAGGAGACAGAGAGCGGTGCCCCCCAAAATGAGGAGAAAACAAGGGGTATGGAGCAGAGGATTACAGGTCTAAGGAACATGAAAAGAGAAAGGTACCCTGTGGCTTTTCCTGGCTCAAGCTCTGGCAGCTTGGTATCTAAAGTCTGCGGGGGTCCAGCCCGGTGGCACAGTGATTAAGTGCGCATGTTCCACTTCGGCAGCCCAGTGTTCACCGGTTTGGATCCCAGATGTGGACATGGCACCGCTTGTCAAGCCATGCTGTGGCAGGTGTCCCACATATAAAGTAGAGGAAGATGGGCCCTGATGTTAGCTCAGGGCCAGTCTTCCTCAGCAAAAAGAGGATTGGCAGCAGACGTTAGCTCAGGGCTAATCTTCCTCAAAAAAAAAAATAAAATAAATAAATAAATAAATAAATAAATAAAGTCTGCAGTGTGAGGGAAAAGATGAGAAGACTAGAGTAGACATAATGTCATCTAACAAAATGGCTGGTGAAATGGCGCCGAGGCTGAACTCCAAGTCAGCCACAAATACTGGTGGGTTAGATGTGGGGAGTCTCTGAGTTCTAGTCCTGCCTCTGCTTCCGACCAGCTGTTGTTACCACACAAAGATGGCGTTCTCCTACCCGATGCACATAAAAAAAAGCCAATTATTACAGCATCAGCTTTTGGGAAAAGAAAACAGCTTTATCGCCAGATCCATCTACAAGAAGACAGGAGGCATGTGCTCTCAGATCTGTCTCCCCGACCCAGGGCTTGGGGCAAAATTTATGGGTCGAAAGGCAGGGTGGTCTGAAGTGTGGAGATAGATGATTGGAGGCAAGGAGAAGTGAGGTAATTGATGATCCGCGCAAGCCTAGTTAAGCTTCATGGCTCTTTACAGGATGCGTGTTCACAAAATGGCAGCGTTACCATGATCTGAGGGAGGAGTTTTCAGCCGCTTGACGTCAAAAGGGTCACTCATCAGGTGTTTGCATGGGCCCAGTTGATGGGCGGGTGTTCTCAACTGGCCTGAGCTGGACAAGTGGGGACTCTCAGATCCTGAAAAACTCTTAATTACTTTATTGATAAGATGGGGTCAGTTGAACTGGTCCCAGTAGGCCCATGGTTATACTATATGACTTTGGGAGGGTCTCTCCATCTCTAAAAGGCTCAGTTTTCTCGTGGACAAAATCACTGGGCTGGACTGTAGCATGATTTTTGTTTTTGTTGTTGGTGTCTACTTCTTTTTAAAACTGAGGTAACATTCACATAACATAAAATTAACCATTTTAAAGTGTACAATCCAGTAGTATTTAGTACATTCGCAATGTTGTGCAATCATCTCTATCTTATTTAAAAACATTTTCATCACTGCAAAAGAAGACCCTGTATCCATCAAGTCGTCAGTCTCCTTGCCCCCCAGCACTCAACACCGCCAATTTGCTTTCTCTTTCCACAGATTTACCTATTTTATATATATATATATTTATACTCTTATTTTGGTGAGGAAGATTGGCCCTGAGCTAACATCTGTTGCCAATCTTCCTCTTTTTTTTTTCTCCCCAAAGCCCTAATACATAGTTGTATATCCTAGCTGTAGGTCCTTCTAGTGCTTCTTTGTGGGATGCTGCCACAGCATGGCCTGATGAGCTGTGCACAGGTCTGCATCCAGGATCTGAACCGGTGAACCCTGGGCCACCAAAGCGGAGCCCACGAACTTAACCACTTGGCCACAGGGCCAGCCCCCCTATTTTATATTTTTCATATGAAAGGAGTAACACAATATGTGGCTTTTGGGTCTGGCTTCTTTCTTTTTTTTTTATTTTTTTAATTTTTTTTATTTTTTTTCCTTTTTCTCCCCAAAGCCCCCCGGTACATAGTTGTGTATTCTTCGTTGTGGGTTCCTCTAGTTGTGGCATGTGGGACGCTGCCTCAGCGTGGTCTGACGAGCAGTGCCATGTCCGCGCCCAGGATTCGAACTGACGAAACACTGGGCCGCCTGCAGCGGAGCGTGCGAACTTAACCACTCGGCCACGGGGCCAGCCCCTGGGTCTGGCTTCTTTCACTTCACATAATGCTCTTTGGAAGTTCATCCATGTTACAGTATCAATCCTTCATTCCTTTTTATGGCCGAATAAGCTTCCATTATAGACTATAGCATGATTTTGAGCTCCAACACTATGATCCCTTTTGCTTTTCAAACATCTGTTCAACAAACACGTAATGAGCACTAATTAAACACAAGGCAGGTGCTGGGAGCATGGTCAAGAAACCTGTGGCCCTGTGCTTCTAAAGCAGTCCTTTCCAAAGCTGTCCCTGGCGGTCCCTGCAATGATTTTAGGAAATGCACTGCTGTGGGCATGGGGAGAAAAATAAGTAACATCAAACTCCAAAGTGAGAAAGATACTGTCTTTTTAATGCTCTTTAAATCCTAGGGGCCGGCCTGGTGGCGCAGCGGTTAAGTGCACATGTTCCGCTTCTTGGTGGCCCGGGGTTTGCTGGTTCCGATCCCGGGTGTGGACATGACACCACTTGGCAAGTCATGCTGTGGCAGGCGTCCCACATATAAAGTAGAGGAAGATGGGGACGCATGTTAGCTCAGGGCCAGTCCTCCTCATAAAAAAAGAGGAGGATTGGCAGATGTTAGTTCAGGGCTAATCTTCCTCAAAAAAAATAAAAAAAATAAATCCTGATTAACCAAAGAGAAGTCTCACGTGATACCAGGGTGTCTGCAACCACCTCTCATCCTCCCTTTTTAACAAAAGGCTCACACTTTCAGCAGGCAACTGTATCTAGTTGATACTGAACAACATTTTGTTTTAATGTATCCATTTTAAATTGCTTGCTATTTATAGCAAATTATAAGGCTTTTCCATTTAAGTTATTTAACATTTTCTTTCAAATAAATTCACTTATGTTTTTAAAAACTGAGTCAACTCAAAGAAAATAGTAAATAATATGCAGGTGATATGCAGACTCAAGGAACTCATTTGGTAATGGAATGACTGGTGTTTGGAAAACACTCACTGAGAGGCTGCGGTCTGTCACATTTACTGCAAGGCCAGTGTGGGATTTTTACATATGTTTGGTGCCTTCTTCAAAGGATCAGGCTCACTACTGAGCACTTAGCTTTACTAATCGACAGAAAACAAATTTGAAATTTGTCCCAATTCTCCCAATTTTGGGAAAGAGGGCAAAAGGGAAGCCCACAACACCATCCCAAAGGTTTGCTGGACACATGTCTTACCCACTTGGCTTACTAACAGACTAAAATTGCATTAACAATTTCATTTCATGCAGAAGCCAGAAGACTCTATCTGAGACTGAAATAGGAGCGAGATCCTTTTACAGAAATAGTAGAAACAGTAGTCCACACAGGTTAACAAAAAAGTCAGTAGGAAATATGGAAATAAATATCTACCTCCCCGAGCGGATTACTTCTTTTTAGGATGGGGTTACAAGGAGACAAAGTGTCGCTTCCCCAAGTATTCAGCTACTCCGAAGCCATAACGGTAATGTTCTCCTCAGAATCGGGCCGAGGGACCCGACAGGGACATTTACACATGCAGGGTCCCCTAAAGGCCAGGAAGCTGCGGCTCAACCGGGACCCCGTCCCCGCCTCGCCCGCCGAGGCCCCGCCCCTCCCGCCGAGAGGCCCCGCCCTCTCCGTAGGCCCCGCCTCCGCCGCTTCTCCTTCGGCCCCACGGCTCCCGCGGCTCCCGCGCACACTGAAGATGGCGGCCGCGGTGGGAAGGTTGCTCCGGGCTTCGGTGAGTGGCTGCCGGCTGGGGGACAGGCGCGGAGACACTGCGGTGGCTCTGGGAACGTGCTTCCCAGACGGGACCCCGCTCCCCTGCGGCCTGAGGGCCTTTCGCCGTTCTTGGAGGATGTCAGCGGGTAGCGGACCTGGAGGCCTCCTCCTCCACCGCCCTTCCCCCACCCCTCCTGCGGTCCCTTCGCCAGTCCCTCCTGGCTGCGAACCGCAGGTCTCTAGTCCCCTCTCCACCTAAGCACCTGGTCCTGGAGGCAGGCGACCTGGCCCCTGGTCCCGGTTCTGTGACCGACTCTATGACCTTGGACAAGTTTCGCCTTTCTGAACCTCAGTTTACTTTCCTCACCTTAAGGTAGAAAGAATGGTGCCTCCTTCATCAAGGCGTTGCTGTGAGCGTCCGCTACATGCTGGATGGAAACCAAAGTGCTAGCGTGCAAAAAGCACTCCCCCCCGGGGCCCCGCGTCTGTCCCCGCGCTTTTCTGCCAGCAAAGCCTGGTACCCTCTTGCTTCCCACTCTCCCGTTTCTCGTGGCGGGTTCAACGCAGGCTCTTTCTTCTTCCTGAGTCATGCTGGACCCTGAAGTTGAGCAAACATTTCCCTTGAGCCCTGTCCAGATTTGCCCAGAAGCTGAACTTTGCTCTACTTGTTTGCATGTCTGAGGGCCTGGAAGGGCCTTGTCGTGTCTAAGGAGGACCTTGACGTGGGAAAACATGCTCAGCAGGTGGTGCTGGTAAAGGGGCCTGGCCTAGCGCCCTTGCTGTTTGAACCGTCTGTGTTGCTGTTAAGAGAATGGAGTCTTTATGTTCTTATAATTTTCTCCTCTGCCTTGCAGTCTTTTTTTTTCACTTGTATATTTTTAAAATAAAAATAGTATGTGTTTAAAGTGTACAACATGATGATTTGATATATATATACATCATGAAATGATTACTACAGTCAAGCTAATTAACCTTTCTTCATGTAGTTACCATTTTTGGTGTGTAATGAGTGTATCTGAAATGTATTTTCTTAGCATGTTACCAGTGTTCAGTACATTATTATTGAGTGTATTCAACATGCCTGTGCATTTTCTAGACTTATTCCTCCTACATAATTGCAACTTTGTATCTTTGACTAACATCTCCCCAGTACTCCTCCTCCTTGCAGTCTTGAAGGAGAAAGAAGCAGAAGGGGATGTTAAAAACATGGAGACTCAATCCATGGTCTTAGAGTTGTGGGTTTGGTATGTGGTTCATAGGAACAAGGACAGCTGAGGCCATCATTGGCCTGATGCCCTTTCAGCAGGGCCAACCTTCAGCCACCATTCTGGAACTACTTCCTAATATAAAGTGTTTCTCTTTCTAGGTTGCCCGACGCGTGAGCGCCATTCCTTGGGGCATTGCTGCCTCTGCAGCCCTTAGGCCTGCTGCTTCTCAAAGAACGTGCTTGACAAATGTATTGTGGTCTGGTTTCAATCAAGCGAAACTCGCCTTTAGCACCAGTAAGTGTTGTTACGCCTTGGTTTGTCCTAGGTAATGGAAACATGAACCATGTCTCTGGACGGGAGCTCTGAACCATGGCTGTACGTTAGACTCACCTGGGGAACTTTTAAAAACAGAGCACTGCCCCAGTCCCACCCCAGACAAATTAAGGCAATCTCTAGGGTGAGACCAGGATGTCAGGATTTTTTTAAAGCTCACCAAGTGATTCTAACGTGCATCGAGGGTTGAGAATCACACACTGCCTTGTGTCACATTTGCTTGTTGGTTGCCAGAGGTTTTGATCCTCTGTGTTGAGGAACATGGAGGGGCAGGGAGTCTCGGGTGCCTTCTGGGCTGCTGTGTGTGAAGGGGTGTGAGATGACTGGAAATTGACCGCAGATCCTCTAAAGGCTTTTCGATTCAAACCTGCTTGCTGGCTCCAGTTGGCCGCATTAGACCAGTCTAATGGACTCCTCCATGAGCTGAATGAAGCCTAGCTATTTCTTGAGGTTTACTCCATTCTCTAGAATGTGGAATTTACTAAGATCAGCCTCAGATAATGAATGGTATTTGAAAATACCTCCTTTGGCTTTGTCCCAGCTTTTATTTATTTATTTTGTTTTTGAGGAAGATTAGTCCTGAGCTAACTGCTGCCAATCCTCTTTTTGCTGAGGAAGACTAGCCCTGAGCTAACATCCGTGCCCATCTTCCTCTGCTTCATATGTGGGATGCCTACCACAGCATGCCTTGATGAGCAGTGCCATGTCTGCACCCTGGATCCGAACCGGTGAACCCCGGGCCGCCAAAATGGAATGCGCACACTTAACCACTGTGCCACTGGGCTGGCCCTGTCCCACTTTTTAAACAAGCATACATTTAACATGTAATGGTTTGGGGGATATACTGTAGCAGAGCCTTTGTTTGTGGGTGAAATGTTCCAAAAAGTTTCACGTTTTGCTACTCTGGGACTTTATAAAATTTCTAGTAGTGATTTGATGCTGTGGGTTTCAAACTTTCCTCATCACCTGTCTCAAACCCCCACTTCCGACATCTCTGGAGCCTAGGCATTTTGACACTTAATCTCCTTTGTCCCGTGTCCCCGGGTAGAGGCGAATCCTCCCCAGCTCTGACACATCTCTCATGTCCTTTCCTTTCTTCCTTTTCTCTCTACCACACCCCTCCCCTCCATACCTCTCACTTAGATAACTGAAATCACCTCCTAACATCGGTCTCGCCTCCGCCTGCTCTCCTCACCCACCCTGGGCCAGAGTCATCTTCCTAAGAACAGCTCACTCCTCTTCCAGCTCCTCCGTGAAATCCCCCAGGGATTCCTTTATCTCTTGTTTGAAGAACAGACCCCACAGCCTGATATTTAAGGGCCCTCACGGCGTGGCCTTCAGCCATCCTTGCTTTGCCTCCCACTCTTCTTGCTTCCACACACAGCACTTCTCTCTGTTCTAACCAAACTGTGCCAGGGGCTCTTCCCCACACCTCCATTGCTTCCTCTAGGCCGTTTGCCCTGTCCCATCTGGACTTGGCAAAATCGGAACCATATTTAGAACCCACCTCCAGTCTCATGTCTTCCTTAATTGCATCCCTACAATCTTCTGTCTTCTTGTTTTAGTTTCTAAAGCACTTTGAATTGAATTTGTACAATCTAGAACTATGGAACGAAAAAAAACTTAGCTAAGATCTACAGTTGAACTGAATCTTTTAATTAATTTATACTACTGATTAACTATTGCGAGAGGTTTAAATAAAATCAAATAGGTGCTTGATTAGTGATTGGACTATATATGTGTGTGGTTTTTTTCAGGTTCCTCATACCATACCCCTGCCGTCACCCAGCACGCACCCTATTTTAAGGGGACAGCCGTTGTCAAGGGAGAGTTCAAAGAACTAAGCCTTGATGACTTTAAGGGGAAATATTTGGTGCTCTTCTTCTATCCCTTGGATTTGTAAGTGTAATTTCTACGATGCTGTACTGTCATTCTGAGTGTGAGCAGAGATCCCTGCTTCCACGCTGACACTTCCTGTCTCTGGGTTTTCTCGTTAAGGGCAAGGTTTTTGCTGACCGTTTATCACTGATGACCTTGTCGATACAGCCTGCATCTGTAGCTAATGTACAAGAGATAAGTTTAGGGGTGAATGGCATTCCTTTTAATGGGGTAGGGTTTTAATATGGCTCTATTTTATCTGCTGTGGAGCACTGGTTCCTGTAAGCCAGTCTGTGAGGAAGTTTTCACAGGTCTGGGGTAAAATGAGAAAAGTAAGGATAATAAAATGAATTTTCTTGTAAAGCTACTTTATTTAAATAAAATCTTTTTTTTTTTAAGATTTTATTTTTCCTTTTTCTCCCCAAAGCCCTCTGGTACATAGTTGTGTATTTTTAGTTGTGAGTCCTTCTAGTTGTGGCACGTGGGATGCTGCCTCAGCACGGCCTGACGAGCGGTGCCATGGCTGCACCCAGGATCCGAACCAGTTAAACCTTGGGCCACCGCAGTGGAACGCATGAACTTAACCAGTTGGCCACAGGGCCGGCCCCTAAAATTTTTTTTTTATTCTTAGAATATACCTCCCCCTGCTTACTCTCATTTTTTGCATTTTTTGATACGACTCTTAAATAGAAAGATGATAAATCATTTCTTTTAACTGGACCTTATTCCTTCTGCCCTTTATTCCTAGCACCTTTGTGTGCCCTACAGAGATTGTTGCTTTTAGTGACAAAGCCAATGAGTTTCACGACGTGAACTGTGAAGTTGTCGCCGTTTCAGTGGACTCCCACTTCAGCCATCTTGCCTGGATAAACACCCCACGGAAGGTATGAGCATCGTTCACCCTGCCTTTGCACTTACCGTCTTAAAAACGGAAATGATCCCATAAAAGACCAGCCTAGAAGTTGTTAATGCGTGATGAGTCCAAAGTGGGCTATTCATAAGTCCTAACCTCCTGGCAAATTCTGTTAAACTCTGTCCATATCTCCCTTGACATTGCATGTGTTTACTTACCCCTCCCCTGGTATTTTCCAGGGTACGAAGGGTAACAGAGAGTGGGCTCAGGGCAGGGAGAACAGCTCAGGTCCATTGCCTCCCCTCTTGCCTGGCAGATCCCACATACCCTGCGTGGCATGTGGGATGGTGGTTAGGTTCTCTCATTTCATTGTTCTGCATGATCAGGATTCTTGCCTAGAAACTTGCCTGGGAGAATCAAAATTTCCAGCTGTACCCCTGGACTATCACTATCAAATGATTCAAAGTATTTTTTTTATTACTCTTGCATTTTTATGCTTCAGAAATTAATCTTCAACTAAAAGAATACTTAAAGAATTAGGGGGTGATGGCCCAGTGGCCCAGTGGTTAAGTTAGCACGTTCCGCTTTAGCGGCCCAGGGTTTGCTGGTTCAGATCCCAGGTGTGGACCTACACATCACTTGTCAAGCTATGCTGTGGCAGGTGTCCCACATATACCATAGAGGAAGATGGGCACAGATGTTAGCTCAGGGCCAGTCTTCCTCAGCAAAAAAGAGGAGGATTGGTGGCAGATGTTAGCTCAGGGCTAATCTTCCTCAAAAAAAAGAAAAGTTAAAAAAAGGATTAGAAAAGCAAAGATCTCTCATATTAGCTGGGTTTAAATGCTGCCTCTGCCCCTTTCTGGCTGTGACTTGGAGCAAGTTACTTATCCTTCGTGTGCCTGTTTCCTCATCTGTAAAACGGTAATGATAATAGTCTCTACTGAGGATAGTTGGGAGGAGGAAGTGACTTAACAGAAAGAGCTTAGAGCAGCACTTGGCCCATTGTTGGTGCTCAGTTAGTGCTCCCTATTGCCATTATTGTTGGCCTCTGACATCGTGTTTCCTGGCCGAGAGTGTTGTGAGAACGCACAGTATAACGACCAGTCATGTTTGTGTTTTTGTTAGAATGGCGGTTTGGGCCACATGAACATCCCGCTCTTGTCAGATTTAACTAAACAAATTTCCCGAGACTACGGTGTGCTGTTAGAAGGTGCTGGTCTTGCACTAAGGTAAGATTCTGTTTCTTATGAACTTAAAATTGCTTTTCATGTTAGCATCATCTCACTTCTTAGGGGATTTATAAAGACCTTGGTAAAGCATTTTTAAAACCAAAAATCCTTAATTTTAGTCTTTTAATAAGCATTGATGGATGCCTCCTTTGAGGATTGGCAGCCTTTCAGAAATGGCTAGGACATGTTTCCCCCCTATACCACGCTGGGTCTGTTTCCGAAGAAAGATATCAGGTGTTGATGGTCACACTGCTCCACTCTCCCTGATCATCTGGGAGCCACATGGGGGCATCCTCCTGGCAGCGGAGCCATCAGAGTGTTTGGAGAAGGGAGGTCTAGCAAGGTAGGAGTCAGTATCCTGGAATGGTTAAGATCTCATACGAGCCCTGGAATCAGATTGGAGTTTGATTTTTTTTTTTAACTCAGCTACTTAATAGCTGTATGACTTTGGGCAAGTTATTTAACCTTTTTTTTTTAAAACAAGATTTTATTTTTCCTTTTTCTCCCAAAGCCCCCAGGAACATAGTTGTGTATTTTTAGTTGTGGGTTCTTCTAGTTGTGGCATGTGGGACGCCGCCTCAGCATGGCTTGATGAGTGGTGCCATGTCCACGCCCAGGATTTGAATTGGTGAAACCCTAGGCTGCCAAAGCAGAGCGCACTAACTTAACCACTCGGCCACAGGACCGGCCCCTATTTAATCTTTTTGAGTCCCAGTTTTCCCAAAACTAAAATGAGAATGTACTTCCCAGATTGGTTGTGAGGATTAAATAAGGTGAGGCAGCTGAAGTTTTTAGCATAGATCCTGGTAGCTGCTGTGTCCAGGAATGTATTTTCTGTCCTCATTCATTCTGTGGTTAACCTTTTATTCCTTTGAGTGCGAAAACTTTCCATCTTTAACAGTCCCATATTCAAATGCCACCTTCCTGGGAGGGATGAGAACGTAGGCCTCAGAACTGGCATCTTGATGGCTGCTGAGTGAAGGAGGGACTGGGCGGAACCTTACCTCCAGGAAGCAGGCAAGGACCCCACTTTGATGTGCCTCACAGTTTTGCTGGGGGCCAGCTTGAATCCACTTGCCTGCCCTCTTGTAGCTGACCTCTGGTCTGTTTTCTTTGTGGGTTACACCTGGAATTTTAGCTCTGGGAGCCACCGTGGAGCTTATGCCTTTTTGACTCCAAGGAGATTACTGTCTTCCTTTAATAAACCGAAGTCTAGCTTTGACAGAGGTGACAAGGAAAGGAGAAGAGGAGTGCTGGCTTTCTCCCCACAGGATCCCTTTCCCTGTAGAGTCTTGCTAATTTTGCAGTTACCTCCCTGCTGGTTTCACTATTGGGATTGACAAGGGAGAGGAGCCGAGCCTGGCTTATAAGATAAGGCTTCTTTCTGGATCCGTGGGCCCTGCTCCATCCTAGCTCTGCATCTGTATCTGCACCATGGACTCAGCTTGGCTCCACTCTCCAGGAGCATGCACCAGGACCTGTCAGGCTCAAAGCCTACACCCCTAAGGGCCTGGCCCAGGGAGGAAGGACCACCTTTTTACCTTGTGAGTTTTCTCCAACTCAGCTTTTCCCTGAGTGACTAACACTTGGAAAGCCACACCCTCTTAAGACAGACTGTTAAAACCTGTGGGTTAAACACATCTGAAATGTCATAGTAACACCAACCCTTATACAGAAGATGAACACGGGCCACAGGTCCAATCATCTCATGACAGTGCTGCTGGGTGATAAAGAGTGACAGGCTTGGTTTGTCTTTAGATTTCTGCTCTGCATAGACTTAAGGGTAGTACATTCTCTGCAAAGATTTTCCCATGGGATTTCCCCCCATTTACCCAAGGATTCACTTATTTCATGTTTCCTGAATATAGATAAAATATATCTCTGTCCTTTCCCAATGCCTATAGTTTCTTGCCAAGTCTTGGTACAGCAGCCCAAAGAATGCTAATAAGTAAAGAAGCCTTTGTTCACTGTAGTTCAGTGACTTTCAGATACTGTGTGAAATTCAGGTGACATTCAGGTGACATTTGTAAATGTGACCATAGTGCCATGGTGGCCTGGTCCAGTCTTCCTTTTGTTAAAGCACCTATCATCAATAAGAGATGATAAGCGTTTTGTGCAACAAGGAAAACCCCATTTTTAAGCATATGATAGCACTTACTAAATGCTTTATTAAGGAGAATTAAAGACAGAGTGGGTAGAAGTTAGTTTTTCTAGCTCTGGTACTGTTGAGGTACTAACGAGGATAAATTCTGATGCAGAGGGCTCTTCATAATTGACCCCAATGGAGTCATCAAGCATTTGAGTGTCAATGATCTCCCAGTGGGCCGAAGCGTGGAAGAGACCCTCCGCTTGGTGAAAGCATTCCAGTATGTGGAAGCCCATGGAGAAGTCTGCCCAGCAAACTGGACACCGGATTCTCCTACAGTAGGTTTCTTTCCCAAAAACAGTGGGACCCCCACAGAGGGTCCCAGGCCCTCACTGCCTCAAGGGCTGCTGGCCTGGAGTATCCACAAAAGGAGCCCACCCTTGGAACAAGGGTGCTGATGGTGTGCCAGTGGGTGAAGCAGCTGAAGGGTGGGGGTTGGGGGTGGGACCAGGCACCAGGCAGACTGTTAATGTAACTTTCATCCATGTATTTTTAAGGGAACAGACCAGTCTTTAAAAAGTTAAAGAACATAGGTTAAAATCGAGAACTTTCAGCTCAGTTTTGAGACTACTATACAGTCCATCACTCAGTGAAATGTTGTTGTATTTTCAGATCAAGCCGCATCCCACCGCTTCCAAAGAATACTTTGAGAAGGTGAATTAGCACATCCTCCCACGTGCACCTGCAGCTTCTCACAGCAGAAAAGAGCCACAGTTGGAACTCACTTTTAGCATTTCAAAGATTATTATTTACAGAAGGCAAAAAACCACTTATGTTTGTATTCATAAATATTACTCTAAATGTTTTGTTTTTGTAACATTGGCTGAAACCTTTTAAACGTGGTTAGTTACTAACTTAAGTCCTTTACTGGTAACGTATTGATGGCCAGCTAGTTTATGTAGATTGCCTAGTTCACCTGTGTCTTGGATCATGTCTTCAATGGGAAAAGGAAACACTCTTCTTTCTTAGTCTTACTTGAACCTTTGTGTACAGCAGAGTAGTACAAACATCGAAAGCTTCTGATCAAGGGTCCTGAAATTTTCTTCATGAATTTCTTTGTATTAAACTGAATTTTCTTGTAAGGTAACAAAGATCATAGTTTTAAGTTGTTAGCATCAGGGGTCTAATTTAACTCTTGCAATGGATGTATATGTGATTGAAACAAACGTGAATCATATTTTTAAACATGGTGGCAAAGTGACTTAACTGATCATGCATGGTCCCCATTCCTGAGATTTATAGTTTATATAGATATTTTACTTATTTTGTTAGCTGACTTAATGTCTACATACATTTCTAGATATTGATTGGGTGTAATTATGAAGGATATTTATTGAATCCAGGTATTACATTTTGAAATCATTGTAGTTATTTTCCTTTCTGAAGTGCTCAATAGAAAGTATATAATAAAAAATAAACATATTTTAAAATATTTGTGTTTTAACACCATTCATTGTTGGTTCAGGTTATGTTGTGGGGCTCTAGTTTTCCTTCTGATTATATCAACAAATATTTATTGAGCATTTAGCTTGGAGCCCAAAAGAGGAATAAGATGCTGGCTGCACACCCAAGGAGCTCAGTGTAGGGGGCGAGAGGGAGACGGAAGCCTTTGTTCATTATTTCAGTAAGTCCTTGAGTGCCTACTGTATGCCAGCTGCTGTTTCAGAGGCACACGAGTGAACAAAAAAAGACAACCCCCTTCCTTCATGCACTTACCTTCTAGAGGGGGAAACACAATAAACATAATAAAAATACAGAGAATGTTTGGAAGCATTCCAGTAAAGTGGAGCAAGGGGCTAGAGCAGAGGGTTGCAGATGTTCTGGATAGAGTCATCAGGGAAGGCCTTAAGGGAGAGTCAGTCTTTCCAGGTCCATTTTCTCATCTGTAAAAGGAGGGCAGTAAGTGTACCTGTGTCAGGGTTTTGATGAGGATCAAATGAGATAAAACATGGAGAAAGTGAGGGAGTTAGGGGAATAAGAAGGTTCTAGGCAAAGAGCATGGCTGGTGCAGAGGCCCTGAGGCAGGAGTGGGTTTGGGGTAGATGAAGAGTTGAAGGGCTATGTGACAGGTTGGCAAGAGGAGAATGGTAATGGAGAGCCCAGAGTGCCTTATGGGCAGGCTAAGGAGTTGGGATTCTGTTCTGAGGTGGGGAACACCAGGAAGGTTTTGAGAAGAGTTACACAACTTGTTCTAAGAGATCACTGGCTCCTTTGTTAAGACTAGACTGTATGGGTCCTGGGGGGGCTGGGAAAACAGAGAGGTCAGCTGGGCTGGATTTGTGACATACTGGAGGGTAGAGCCAACAGACTAATACGGGTGTGCCAAATACTGTGGTTCAATAGATGCATTCCTAGGGCATAAGGGGAACATAGGAGGGGCACCTCACCCAGCTATGGTGTCAGGGAAGGCTTCCTGGAGGAGGAAAAACTCGTGAAGGCAATAGAAAAGTGAGCCAGGTGAGCTGAGCAAAAGGAACCTCAAACTCACATGGGCCTGAAGGAAACCATGAGCTGGTGTCCTGTTCCTGGAGGGAAGGGAAGGCAAGGCGAGGGAGAGAACAGGCCAGCTGGGTGTTACTGGCCCCAGCTGAGCATGACCAATGGACCCAGTGATGGCTGAGGGCTTTGACATGTTTTATCTCACTTGATCCTCAAGAAAACCCCTGAGATAGGTACTATTGTCCTCATTTTACAGATGATTATCTAAATAGGCCTGGAGAGACTGACTTGACCAGGGTCACACTCCTAAGTAACTGGTGGCACTGGGTCCCTCACCCGGGACTCCTGAGGACCCCTGAGCACCCCACACGTCCACACCAGCTTGCAGGAACACGCATAACCCCCCACCCACCCCAGTGCGGGCACACAGGGAAGGGGGCAGCAGGAGGAAGGAAGGTGCATTTTTTCTCTACAAATGGACCCTACTTGATCTGGTGTTCAACAGAAGAACTCGATCTGCCCCAGTGCTGGAGAACGACTGTTGGGCCGAGAGAGAAGGCAGCATATGCAGGGCCAGCTTCACAGGCTGGGCCAGGGCCCCACACTTAGAAGGGCCCAGGTTTTGGTTTAATGCTCTAATGTTGACTTTTTGAAATTCTTTTCTTTTGGTAAGGAAGATTCTCCCTCAGCTAACATCCGCTGCCCATCTTCCCTTTTTTTGGCTTGAGGAAGATTTGTGCAGAGCTAACATCTGTGTTCATCTTCTATTTTGTATGTGGGACAGCTCCACAGCATGGCTGATGAATGGAGTAGGTCCTGCCTGGGATTCCAACCTGGGCAGCAGAAGCACGGCGCAGAACTTAACCACTATGCTACCGGGCTGGCCCCAAGACTTTCTGAAATTCTTCATCTCTTTTTTAATAAGGAGCACCACATTTTCATGTTTTACAAGGCTGCGAAAATTATGTAGCTGGTCCTAACATCCCCAATACCATATACACTCAACCTTTAGGGCAATTGAAGGGATTTTTGAGGGTAACGTACAAATCTTGGGCGCGCCCGTGCTCCCCGTAAGATGTGGGGTGTTCTCGGCGTGTACTGAAATATGGGGGTTCCCCTAGGTGACACCCCCAGCCCCAGCTCCACACCCCGACCTCCCCCCCCCCCCCCCCCCCCCCCCCCCCCCCCCCCCCCCCCCCCCCCCCCCGGGGCCTGGAAGCGGCCGGGCTACCCTTAGGGACGGAGCAGGGTTGGAAAGACTCGGTCTGTGGGAGGGGTGGGCTCACGGGAACAGGGGGAGCGCGGGGACCGGGGATGAAGGCGTGGGACCCGGTGGCGCTGGCCGGTGGTGACACCCACGAGCCGGAGTGCCGGAACCCGGGAGCGGGAACAGGGGGCGCGCGCGCGCCCGGGGCGGGGCCCGCCGCCAGGCTCCTCCTCCGTGGCTGGTCCGGCGGCGGCGTCTCCCGCCATCGCGTAGGTCCCAGGAGGAGGAGGAAACGCGGGGGCCGGGCGGCTCCCGGGTGCAGCAGCGCCGCTGCCCGCATGGAGCCCAACGTGCGCTTCTGGATCACGGAACGCCAAGTACGGCCCGGGCCGCGGGCTGGGGGCGGGGAGGGCGTGCCGCGCCGCGGGGAGTCGCCGGCTGGCCCAGGTGACCTTGGGCAGGCCACGTGGTCGCACCACTCGCCTTTCCTTAGACCCCAGTAAGGGACGGAGGGGAAACCCAAGCTTGCCGGATGCCGGCGGCCACAGTTGTTACTGTGTGTCACCCCTGCCCCAGGCCTGGCTAGGGAGGGTCGCCACAAGGTCACCCTCAGATCGCCCTGAGAAGCAGTGCCCCCTCGCAAGTCTGTGCACTCTGCTGCCTAGGCTGTTGCTGAGCATCAGGTTGGAGAGGAAGAGGTCCCAGGAGGCCCCAGCCTCCCCACCTCGGTACGCTCAGCCAGTCAGAGAGCGAGACTTCTGGGCTGTGGGAAGCCTGGGTGGACCGGAAGTAACACAGACCCCGCCTCCAGGCCGTGTCTATAGAAATATGATGGGAGTCACACAGGCAATTTACAATTTTCTAGTAGCCGCATTAAAAAAGGTAAAAAGAAACAGCTGAAATTAATTTATAATAATAAATTGTATTTAGCCTCATACAAAATATTAACATTTATATTAACATTTCAACATGTAATCAATATAAAAAATTATTAGTATTTTACATCCTTTTGTTGTACGAAGTCTCCAGAATCCGGTGTGTAGTTTACACATGGGGCCCGTCGATGTGGCCTGGCCACATTTCCCGGGCTCCATAGCCACATGTGGCTAACGGGACAGCACAATGCTAGGGTGTTCTCTTACGTGAAGTAGGGCCTAGCCTGGTTTTTTGAGGTGGTGAAGTTGAGAAGGGACAGGGAGCTCCAGCAGCCTCAGCAGAGCCGAGCCTCAAAGCTAGAACCGCTGCAAACTTTGGGGGTTTTTTGAAGCAAACCATGCCTTCTTTCTCCACATGGGAACCAAGCTGCCTTTATGGAGGCCTCGCTGGGGTGTCGGGTTGCTTATGACTGGAGTTAAGCCTTGCACCAACCCTAAGAGGTGAGAAACAGATTCTGAGACCTTTCTGGGTTGTTGCTTTAAGGTCATATGTGCGAAATGAACGTAGGCCCATTTGAGCCCTAAGTGTAGGCTTTTAAACCTCAAAAGCAATTTGATGTTGGAGTGGTTAAGAGGACAGGCTACTGAGTCATTTCCTGGCTGAGTTTCCTTGAATACCTTCTTGAGCCCTTCTAAGCCTCAGTTTCCTTACCTGTAAAATGGGGATGTTGTAAGGATTCCAGGAGATGCTGTAGGTAGAAGGCAGATCACAGTACAGGGCCCTCTTAGGGTCTAAAAGAAATGTTACCCGTTATTATTACCATAAATCTTGGTTTTTCTGCTGCCGTTAACCTCTCTGGCGCTTTTCCCCCTCTTAAGTCTTTTGTTCAAAGATTTCTTCAGTGGATGGAATTATTGGATCCTACAAATCTGGTCCTTTCAATTGTAAGTATTTTCTTGTTTTCAGAGATAGTGAATTTCACATTTTATTCTGAAACATGATGACTGTGTGTCCCTTTGGAAAGCAGTTGAAATAACAGAATCCATAAATATTATCATGTTTGTATTCCTTCCGACTGAGCTTGTTAGATTGGAAGGGTGATACATAAAAGCAGACATCCATTTAACAGGTGACACCAAGCCCCAGGCCAGGTGCTGATGGTTCAAAGGGGATCAGAACCCCCCTGATAATGGAAGACACACTGGCAAAGCTAGTCACAGACTTTGACCTAGAGCTCTAGGGGTGGGAGTACCAGGAGTCAGCAACAGAGGAAACGCCTCCCTCTGTCCGGGGCGGGAGGAGTGTTGAGGGAAGGCGGAGAGGGAGCGGGGACTAGTACCTCCTTTTATTGCTCTTTGCTTTATTGCACTTCACAGATACTGCATTTTTTACAAGACCCTCCACCAGCAAAAAGATTACGGCTTGCTGAAGGCTTGGATGGTGGTTAGCAGTTTTTAGCAATAAAATGTTTTGTTTTGGTTTTTTTTGAGGAAGATTAGCCCTGAGCTAACATCTGCTGCCAATCCTCCTCTGTTTGCTGAGGAAGACTGGCCCTGAGCTAACATCCATGCTCATCTTCCTCTACTTTATACGAGGGACGCCTACCACAGTATGGTGTGCCAAGCAGTGCCATGTCCGCACCCAGGATCTGAACCGGCGAACCCCGGGCCACCGGAGCGGAATGTGCGCACTTAACCGCTGTGCCACCAGGCTGGCCCTAAAATGTTTTGTAATTAAGGTGCATGCATTCTTTTTTAGACATAATGCTATTGCATACTTAATAGACTACAGTATAGTGTAAACATAAATTTTTATATGCACTGAGAAACCAAAAAATTCGTGTGAGTCACTATATTGCAGTGGTCTGGAACCAAACCTGCAGTATCTCAGAGGTATACCTGTGTACGCAAAGTCCTGGATGGAGAGCAGGTCGCCCAGTCACTGGAGCTTTTCAAGGGGGGAACCAGGCAGTTCCTGGGGTTTGTTTTTGTTTTTTTTTTTCAGGAAGATTAGCCCTGAGCTAACTGCTGCCAATTCTCCTCTTTTTGCTGAGGAAGACTGGCCCTGAGCTAACATCCATGCCCATCTTCCTCTACTTTATATGTGGGACGCCTACCACAGCATGGCTTGCCAAGCGGCGCCATGTCCACACCCAGGATCTGAACCGGCGAACCCTGGGCCGCCAAAGCAGAACGTGGGCACCTAACTGCTGCGCCACTGGGCCGACCCCAGGCAGTTCCTGAAAGGCGTTCGGTGCCATGCGGACGAGAAGGGTTTGCGCTCAGCTGACAGGGCCAGTGGTGAGGTTATTGTTTCAGAGGGTGTCTTTGCTGGCCAAGTGGCGAGTAACCAGAGGGGACCAGACTGTAGGCAAGGTGATCAGTTCAGGGAATGCTTAACTGTCCAAGTGAAAGATGAGGGTTTGAACCAGGTGTGGCTGAGGGAGGAAGAGGAGGAGATGCCCTGTCACCTGCAATGATCCTCAGGGCCAGAGCCAAAGGGACACTCCCATCCTTGTGCTCAAGGCCTTCCACACAGCCTTGTTCACAGTAGAGAGAAACAAGAAACAATCTGAGTGCCCATCAGCAGGGAAATAGATAAATAGTGTGTGGTATGTTCATACAGCAGAATACTGATTAGCTGTTAAAAGTGATGATCCAGGGGCCAGCTGGGTGGTGCAGCGGTTAAGTTCGCACATTCAGCTTCTCGGCGGCCTGGGGTTTGCCAGTTCAGATCCAGGGTGCGGACATGGCACTGCTCGTCAAGCCATGCTGTGGTAGGTGTCCCACATATAAAGTAGAGGAAGATGGGCATGGATGTTAGCTCAGGGCCAGTCTTCCTCAGCAAAAAGAGGAGGATTCGCAGCAGTTAGCTCAGGGCTAATCTTCCTCAAAAAAAAAAAAAGTGATCTAGTTATCAACATATGATATTAAGTGGAAACATGCGATATTTATGATAAGTGGAAAAACATCTGTGACGTTTAGTGGAAAAGGAAGATGCATAAATACAGCATTTGTGCAAATTACAACATAAAAAACCAATACTACATATTTGTTTATGGACATATGTATTCGTGTATGTATAAATATTAAAAAAGGGACTGGAAATTTATACCTTGAACTCATAACAGTGTTTCCCTCTGATAGGATGGGGAGGGAAATGAGACTGGGGTTGGTGGCTCTTTTTGGAAAAAAATTGAGAAGCACATATAACTGAATGTTTACTGTTGTTAACTCTGGGTGAGGGGATTATGAGCGTGTAATCATTCTTTGTATTTTCTATATTTCATTTTTTTTCTCAAATTAAATAGAAAAGAAGAGAGGAAATAAGGCTGAACTGACTAGATGTGGGGGTGAGTGGGAGAGCAGGGACTTGCAGGTTTCTGACTGGCACAGCCAGGCGGATGGTGTATGGTTCACTGAGACAGTGGACATCAGAGAGGAATGGGGACAGATGGCAGCACCAGTGGGCAAGCTGCTGGATCTAAGAAGCCGGGGGTCTAAATCTGAATGACACACGGGACTGTCCTAACGGAGACCCAGAGTAGAGAGTCTTGGCTACATGTTGCATTGAAATCAGGTGACAATGAGCATGTGATTCCTGTATCTGGACCAGTCTGAACGATGTTGAGATCATGGCTTGATTTCTTTATATCTGATTATAGGAAAAAATAGAAAAATCGAGGCAACTATTGTTAACAAATCAAGATGCATCCAGACATGACGTGGAGGACCAAAGGGTATGTGTGCCCGCGTGTGCCTGGGTCAAGGCTGGGCGCGGTGCCTTCAGGTGATTCTGCTTGCGTGATCTGAAATCAAGTGGAATTTTGTCATTGTAAACACTGCCCAGGGGATCTGCTTTTCAAAACTGGGTTAGTTTTTTTTAGGAAGATTAGCCCTGAGCTAACATTTGCTACCAATCCTCCTCTTTTTGCTGAGGAAGACTGGCCCTGAGCTAACATCCGTGCCCATCTTCCTCTACTTTCTGTGTGGGATGCCTCCCACAGCATGGCGTGCCAAGCGGTGCCGTGTCTGCACCCAGGATCTGAACCGGCGAACCCCAGGCCGCCGAAACGGAACGTGCACACTTAACTGCTGCACCACCGGCCAGCCCCTGGGTTAGTTTTTGAAATGTGTTAGAATTCCTTCTCATAAACCAGATTAGTATTAGATGCTAGTAGGAGAAACTACTATTAAGGAGAAAAAAGCATGGGGTTCCTCCTATGCAATGGGTATGAGGGAGGATCCTCCATAGCCGATTCCTTGAACCCCCTGGCAAAGTCTAGAATCCAGGCAGGCCTCCGAAGTCAGAATCTATCTCCCATTCGAGGCAGCATTCTGGGGTAGGGTTGCAACCTGCCCAAAGACCCAAACCAAGTACTTGTTATCTGTCTTGCATGTGTGGGGCTTTCTGGAGGCCAAGCATCAGTCCCATGCAGCAGCCTGGGGAAAGCTCGTACAGTTAACTTGATTTTTCTGAAAACTTCTCCGGGGCCTTTGGGCTGACAGCCTGGCTTTGTTGCAAGTGACTTGGCTCACGCCGTGGTTTGTGGTCTGCACACAGCCTCTCTGCTCTGAGCCAGCGGCAGGCCAGATCCAGGACTCACCTGAGGGGCAGGGCGGGTGTCGGCCTCGAGTTCTCTCCAAAGTCAGAGACTGAGGACTTTTTCATGTTCTGGTTGTTTACTTTATGTGGATCATCTCTTTGCTGGTTAGTTCATTTGTTCGTTTGATTCATTTGATTCTATTTCGATTTGTTCTGTCCACGTGATAGAGAACAGTTCTGGCCATCACTGAAAGGCAGAGCAAGGCAGCTCCAGAAATGGCAACGGAGAGGAGATTTCTTTCGCTGCCACACCACCTTCAAAAGCTATGGCTTTCTTTTTCTCTTTTTAGATACAAGAAGCTTGGAAGAGAAGTCTGGTAAGTTTCAGCCCCTTCCTGATTCTTAGTCTCCTAAAAGAACAAAACCAAAGGTCAGACTAACCTTTGTGTCTACCCTTCTGAAGTCCACCGTGCATCCTGACAGCAGCAAACTGATCCCCGTTCCTTTTCGACCTGCAGGTGAGTCGATTCTAATTTTCAGAAGTCGGTTGGGAAGACATGGTTTGGAACAGTTGCAAAACTCTGCCTGCCTTATTTTAATTTTTTTTTTTTTCCCTAGAAGGATTTCTGATGATGAGTCTTAAAAAGATTTAAAAAGAATGTTGGCAGGATCTGGGGTGGAAAGTGGAGAAGAGCAGGTTTGAGGCCCAGAGCTGTGTCCAGTCCTGTGGAAAGATCCGGGCTTTGGGAGTGGTGGGACAGGCCTGGGGGTGAATCCCGCCCTGCTCCATCATGTCCCAGCGAACAGAGCCAATTATTTCACTGATGGTTCCTAGGTGCTAGAATTAGGCATTCCATTTGGTATTCTCTCTCTTGTATCTTAACTACAATGAGGGGAATAAAATCCATGATCGTATAGGGTCCTTCCAAATATCAAATTCTCTCTATATTATAAACAGGAAACTGGTAACAACATAAATATCCAACAATTCAGACTCTAGTTAAATAATTCATTAAAAAGAGTGAGGTAGGGGCTGGACCCGTGGCGTAGTGGTTCAGTTCAGTGTGCTCTGCTTTGGCGGCCCGGGTTCTCAGGTTCGGATCTCGGGGGCAGACCTATACCACTTGTCACCAAAAAAAAATCTTCCTGACCAAAAAAAAAAGCAGTGTAGTAAATCCTTCATGCTAATATGAGTGAATGATCTCCAGGAACTAGTATTAAGGAGAAAAAAAATGAAATACTAACAGTGTATAGTGATCCTATATGTATAGAGAAGTGCTGTGTGTTTACGAGAGCGAGAGAGAGAGTGAGAATTTTCATATGTCCTGATAGATGTTGTGAAAGAAAAATACTCTTATTTCTCTTCTTCACACTCTCCTCTTAATACTTCACTTCTGATGCCCGATGAATGGGTGTTTCCCACACCCATCAATTCTGTGACACCAGCTGGGAGTCCTACAATTTTTACTTGGTTCTGACGCGTCTACCTGGAGTTAGCATGAGATTTCACAGGTTAAGGGCTCAGGCCCACAAGACTGCCCCCACCTCACACGCCAGTCCCAAGTGCAGGTTGTCCCCAGTGCTTCTGACCAACCTGCTGTAAACTAGAGTTCCCGTGACCCTGTCCTTGGGTTCAATTAATTCACTAGAACAGCTCACAGAGCTCAGGAGAACAAGTTTACTTACCAGATAATACAGATTATATTATGAAAGGATACCACTCCGGAACAGCCAGGTGGAAGAGATGAATAGGGCAAGGTATGGGGGACGGGGTGTGGAGCTTCCTGCCCTCTTCAGGTGCGCCGCCCTCCCAGCACCTACAGTGCCCTGCAAGCCAGAAGCTCTCCAGACCATGCCAGTTAGTATTTATAAGTGGAGGCTTTTTTTTTTTTGAGGAAGATTAGCCCTGAGCTAACATCTGCCAATCCTCCTCTTTTTGCTGAGGAAGACTGGCCCTGAGCTAACAGCTTGCCCATCTTCCTCTACTTTCTGTGTGGGACGCCTACCACAGCATGGCTTGCCAAGTGGTACCATGTCTGCACCCGGGATCCAAACCGGCGAACCCCAGGCTACGGAAGCAGAATGTGCAAACTTAACCGCTGCGCCACCGGGCCGGCCCAAAGTGGAGGTTTTATTAATACACATGGCTGATTAAATCATTGACTATTGGTGATTAGCCCACCCTCCAGCCCATCTCACCTCGGTTGGTCGTTTGGAGGTGGGGTGGGGGAGCTGAAAGTTCCAACCACGTAATCACCTGGTTGGTTCCCCTGGCAACCAGCCCTTATCCTCAGGGGCTTTCTAAAAGTCACCTTATTATCTCAGGTGTGGTTGAAAGGGGCTTATTGTGAATAACAAAAGATACTCCTTTCAACATTATCACTCTTCTCAGTAAATTCCAAAGGTTTGGGGATCTCTGTGCTGGGAACAGGGACAAGGAGCAAATATATACAGTCATGCGTCACTTAGTGACAGGGATACGTTCTGAGAAATGCCTGATTAGGCAATCTTGTGAGAACATCATGGAGTGCGCTTACACGAACCTGGATGGTCCAGCCCACTACACACCTAGGCTATATGGTACTAATCTTATGGGACCACTGTTGCATATACGGTCCGCCATTGACTAAAACGTCATTATGAGGCTCGTGACTGTATTTCTTATTATAAATCACGGTATCCCAGATGTATTCAATTCATGTGGAAGGATGAACAAGTAACTTGGAGCAAATGACCGCTTGCCTTCTGTAAGAAGGACCAGGAAGGCTGGAGGGAGCCTTGTCTGGTCCCTGTACTGTGCTGTTTTAAATTTATGCCATATATAGTTATTATTTTTGTTAGAAAAAAAAATGGTGCCCCTTTCCAGCCTCTCTCTGCCTCAGCAGCTGCAGTCACTGACCCTCTTCTCTTCTTTGCCAGCTTTCCTGCCTTTCACGGCGCCCATGGTGAGTAAGCTGCTACTCACCATTACGAAACCAGGAGTTTAGGAAGATGTCCACCTATCCCGTAACCTTGGCGGCAGTGTCCTCCGGCTCCCACCCCTGTCCCGTGACTGCCTGATAGATGATTATGGACCCCACCTCTGACCCATGTCTTCTATTCATGTAGTCCCACCTCCCACTTATCCATTTGGGCACCTGGGCCTCTTGAAGGTCCAGAGTGTCACAAGGTCATCCTCTCTTTGAACACCTACTGTGCGCAAAGCACTCCCGAGGAGATGGGTGAATTAAGACCTGCTCCCTGCCACAAGCCCACGTAACTGTCCGTCACCTTCTCTCCCCAAACCCTCTCCCAGTACAAGCCCTCACCTGGGACCTGGAGTTGTCTCCCAGCCAGGCCTTCCCACCTTGGCTCTTACAAGGTGCTCTGACAAAGTGACATTACTTCTCTGTCACTTCTTCCACATCTGCCCTGTGTGTGCGTCTGCTGGCAGGTGCATGCTTCTCAGCTGCCCCACTCCACTGCAGGTCTTGGAGACAGGGACCGCTGTGCTCCTGGGCTTGCCCGGTGCCCACTGGGTGCTCATTCAGCATCGCTTGCCCACTGACCAGTGGCCCCCCCCGGGTCCACACCCTCCTCCCCTTGTCCCAGCTCCTGGGGGGCTCGGCTCTGCTTCTCCCCTGGGAGGTTCTTTGCTCCTACGAGCTCTCCCTCCCCCAAAACACTTATAACTCTACTTTATTTTTTTAAAGGTATTTTTGTCGCTGCTGTCAGTAAAAAATCTGAAGTCCATGATTTTACCTCAGGTAGCAATTATTTCTGTTTCATGGTTACTGAATTTTGTTGACTGGAACCAAAGTGTGACTTATTTGCCTGTCTTGCTGCAGGTTTCTTTCTATACCTACACCACGGCGTTCAACATCATCAACGGAAATGCAAGTTACGTGAGTATTGCGAGGCCTGGAGGGTCCGCAGTTTCATATCTGAAGTTTTTCTTTGTTTAATTGTCCTTACTGGGTAAAACTGTGGCATTTGCTAAATATGTACTTTTGCTTTTCCTTAGAATCGGCAGCCGTATGAGAGTATATTACTAGGAACAGGAGTAATTGCTTCTTCAACCTTTTTTGGAGTAGGTATTTTAAAAATCTGTTGACTCTTTTTCGTTCCTCAGAATCAAAAAAACTTCATTCTGGGGCCGGCCTCATGGCCGACTGGTTAAGTTCACGCTCTCCACTTCGTCAGCCCAGGGTTTCACTGGTTCAGATCCCGGGTGCCGACATGGCACTGCTCATCAGGCCACGCTGAGGCGGCGTCCCACATGCCACAACCAGAGGTGCTCACAGCTGGAATATACGACTATGTACTGGGGGGGCTTTGCGGAGGAGACGGAGGCAAAAAAAAAGATTGGCAACAGATGTTAGCTCAGGGCCAATCTTTAAAAAAAAAAAAAAAACTTTATTCTGATTACAAATTTATGTTCCAACTTAAACAATTTAGAAAGTATGAATAAGACATAAAGAAGAAAATACAAGTCACCTGTAATCCTTTCGCCCCTCCCATAATCATGTGAATTTTCCAAGTTTCTAGGCATGTGCTCAATACTATCTTCTTATAAAATAAATTTATGCTATAGAAATATACATTGTCTATATATGTATATATATTTGTACATACAAATATACAACTTGTACATTGCTTTGGATGTCAGGACATCCAAAATGTTAAAATGTAGATTTTAATTACATTTGTACATTAATTACATGTTAAAAAGGTAGATTTTAGAGTCAGGGAGGCCTGGCTCATCTGGCTCACAGCCTTGACGGCTCAGTGACTCTGGACGAGTTAGGTGCCCTCTCTGAGCCTCCGTGGCTTCCTCTGATGATCAGAGAAGGCACCACAGTGTTGCAAGAATTAAAGCCCTCACGGCGAGCACCTGCCATGTCCCGCCATCCTGGGAGTGAGCTCGGTGCCAGCTCTCTGCTGTGGCGTCTGTGCAGCTGATTTTTGGTCCCGTTGATAATGATTTTTCTCTTTTATTTTCTAGTTACTCCCTCGTTTCCTCCAGTTGAGGTTTTCGCTGAATAACATCTTGACGAGAAAGGCCCTGCCCGTCGTCTTTCTCAGTAAGCAGGAAGCATGCGTCTCTGTCATCTTTGAGCCTTCCTCCATCTTCAGGGACACCCAGGTCCCTTGGCCACATCGTGGCTGATGATAGCCTCCATTTGCAGCTTGTCGGGACCCCCAGGCCCAGATTAAGTCTTTGGTTGAGGGGTGACGTTTTCTCTGTAGATAGTGCTTTAGTTGCCAAAGGATGAACACAAACTCGGAAACACAAATTACGTGTTAAAGACTATCATACAAGCCTTCTGCATGTATTAGTTTACTTAATCCTGCAACAACTTATGGATAGGAAGTGTTATTCCCATTTATAGATGAGGAGACTGAGGCAGGGGGAGGTTAAGTTACTTTCCTGGGGTCACACTGGAAGAAGTGGTGGTGTAAGCGATTCCAGCCGGCGGGCTGACTCCAGAGGGAGCGGCAGAGGCGCTAACTCACCGTTTGCAGTTTGCCAGCCTGCAGATTCACTAGTTCACACTCCAAATTTGGGTTTGGGAATCGTAGCCATTTGAAGGGTTGGCAGAATGCTGTCAGTGGTAAATCTGTAAAATTATGTTACAGAAACCTGGTCAAATCAGCTTAAACAAAGATGGGGGCATATTTCAAGGATCCCAGGGTTTTTCCTGGAATCCTGTCAGGGAGCCGGGCTGGACTTTCAGGGGTGCTGCAACCTCGTGCTGACTTGGACTCAGGATCCAAGACCGAGTCGCCAGCCGTTCTGACCCCAGCTCCACAGCCCCAGGAGAGAGCTTGGTTCTCACATGTTAGCCACCCAGGGGGCAGGCAAGCACAGCCAGCAGGAAAGAGGCTTGACACCAGAAAAGATGTCCCTTCGCTGGACCAAAACTCATCCCTCTATTGTGTGTTCTCTTCTTTACATCCACAGCCCAGGTCAGTGCAGTGAATGTTATTGCATCCCGAAGCTTTGAGCCCTCGCGAGGGATTGAGGTCATGGACAAGGAAGGCAATGTCATAGGCTATTCCAGAAAAGCCGGGACAAAGGTAGGGGGACTCTATGGAGCCGTAGCCACTTGCCTTTTGGGTAAAGAGTTGAATTTTCTGTTTGAGAGCTGGTAACAAATTCATGTCTCCTTTCCACCTTTCCTATCCTGTCTTCCCTCATTATGCTGAGAGAGAGATTTTACATTTTGTATCCTGATGTTTCAAAGATGGCACGTTGGTCTGGGTTCTCCAGAGGAACAGAACCAATCAGAGATGGATAGATAGATAGATAGAGTATTGGCTCATGCAGTCATAGGGCTGGTAATTTGGTAATGTGGAGGGCAGACTGGCAAGCTGGAAACTCAGGAGCAGATGCTAAGTTTGAGGCAGAATTTCTTCTTTGGGAAATCTTAGATTTTGCTCTGCAGGCTTTCCAACTGGTGGAGATGCAACCCATACACACTATGGAGGGTAGTCTCCTTTATTTAAAGTCATATGATTGTAGATTTTAACCACATCTACAAAACAGCCCCATAGCAACACCTGGATTAGTGTTTGACTAAGTAACTGTGGACGATAGCCTAGCCAAGTTGACGCGTGAGACTGACCATTACAGATGGGCCTCCGCCAAATGCTAGGCCCCTCTCTGAGTGTGAGATCTTGTTCTGCAAGCCCAGCCTCTACCCTCCCAGTCTGCTCTGTACTCCTGGAAGTCAGTGGACACCCTCTCTGGGTTTAAGAGAAGCCCTTCCTCTCCACCTCACAGCAGATTTTCATATAGTCCTCATCTTTAAGGACCAATTTGCTGTCAAGGATGGCCTAAGGAAATCCAGGGCTCTGACCAGAGCTCTTCTAAAAGACCTTAGTTTTTAATAAGTTTTATCATTAAATAGTTTATTCTTTTGCTTAATTCAACACAGTGGCTTCCGTGTGCATTCAGTTCTAAGAACCTGGAATAGCCTATGGTAGTTTCATTTTGGGTGTGGACTTTTTAAAAAAAATATATTTTCAGCAGGTGAGATCTTTTTTGGTCTCTGAGAAGTGCTTTAGCTAAAGAATTGTCATGTGAGGCAGTTGTTTGCAAATGGCCTGAGGAGCAGCGTGGAACAGCCCCTGATTCAAAGCACAGGCTGTGCCGGCTTCTTGCAGGATCAGCGTTCAAGGGGACTCCCTGAGCCGGCTAGACATCCTTCTGCCCACATGTCGGTGGAGAAGGAGGTCAGAAAAGATGGGTTCTCACTCAGCCGGTAAATTCATCATTATTTGGCTCATGAAACATGTTACTCTAAACCCTGCCAGTGATTCACAAAGCTGAACTATAAACCATCGGATTCCTGCTACCATATTTCTACTGGACCATTTAGTAGCAAGTGTGAAAATGGTGTCCGCCTTTCTAAATGAATTATAGTAGGGACATGCTAATTACAAGTAACCAGGGGAGAAATTGCTGCCAGAAATAAAATACCTCCTTTTTGAAATGAAGGCTCTCTGCCTAAGGAACCACCCTAAAGGGATATTTTTAACAGCGTTATTGAGGCATAACTGACATACTATAAACGTCGCCCATTGTGAGGATATAGTTTGAATTTTAGTAAGTTGTAACAGTTGCGCAACCATCACCACAGTCCAATGTTAAAACATTTTCAGGGGCCGGCCCCGTGGCCAAGTGGTTAAGTTCGCATGCTCCACTGCAGGCGGCCCAGTGTTTTGTTGGTTCGAATCCTGGGCATGGACATGGCACTGCTCGTCAAACTATGCTGAGGCAGCGTCCCGCATGCCACAACTAGAAGGACCCACAACGAAGAATATACAACTATGTACTGGGGGGCATTGGGGAGAAAAAGGAAAAAATAAAATCTTTAAAAAAAAAAAAAGAAACATTTTCAGGGGGCTGGCCCAGTGGCGCAGCGGTTAAGTGCGCATGTTCTGCTTCTCGGTGGCTTGGGGTTCGCCGGTTTGGATCCCGGGTGCGGACATGGCACCGCTTGGCAAAAGCCATGCTGTGGTAGGCGTCCCACATATAAAGTAGAGGAAGATGGGCACGGATGGGAGCTCAGGGCCAGTCTTCCTCAGCAAAAAGAGGAGGATTGGCGGTAGTTAGCTCAGGCCTAATCTTCCTCAAAAAACAAAAAAAATTTTCATCACCCTAAACATTTCCCTCCTGCCCTTTTACAGTCGCTTCCACCCCACAGCCCCAGGGAAATGCCCATCTGCTTTGTGTCTTCATAGTTCTGCCTTCTCTAGAAGTGTCTTATAAATGAATCATCCAGTAGTTTTTTGTGTCTGGCTTCTTCCACTTCCGAGGTCCATCCTCTGTGCCATCTATCAGTAGTTGGTTGCTTTTTATTGCTGAGCTGTATTCCATCGTATGGATGTACCATAGTTTTGCTGATCCACTCCCCAGGCGATGGGTATTTCGATTGAGTCCAGTTTCTGGCCGTCATGAATAATGCTGCTCTGAACATTCATGGGCAGCTCTTTGTGTGGACATGTGTTTGCGTTTCTCTTCAACTCAGCGTTAACTGCAGGGCGTTAGCGTTGCTGTGAATTATTCATGCAGCTGGAGAGAAGAGTGAGAGCACAGGTTGCCTCCACACGGTGTTCCTCAGCACCTCCGGCCTGCCAGGCTCTGTGCCAGGCACTGAGGCCCAAACCCTCAGCAGTCAGAGTCCCTTCTCTCCAGGAACGCTCAGCCTCCCGTCGCGGAGGCAGCCTCAGGCCCTGCTGGCTATCGAGATACCTAGACCCTCTCACCAGGAGAAAGTTCGTTTTTTGCAGGAAGGCCCATTTAGGGTAAAAGAAAGGTTTGATGGTCTCCTTTAAAAAAAAAAAGTTTATCTTTCTCTTAAGAATGAAGTGTCTGCAACTGTGCGTAAGCATGAGCGTTCTTTTATCGTTTCCCTGTCACCGAAAGGTTTATTTTCTTTGGCTAAAATTTCAGAAACTGCGTAACCAGCAATATCTGATTGTAATAGGGCACCTTTGATCAGATTTCAGGAGCCTGGTCCATGTTGTTTTCTCTTGACTGGGCTTGTAAGCCACCCAGTCGCAAATGGTAACGCTTTCTCGTGACAATGTCTGGTTTGGAATGTCTTCCCCTGGCACACAAGACAGACAGGGAGAGGCTGGCCTCACCCCACTGACGCTGAAACACAGCACACTCAGCAGCCACTTTTCTCTTCCTGAAGTCAAGCAATTTTATTTAACATTCCTGAAAGTTTATTTTATTATTTTATTTATTTATTTTTTTTGAGGAAGACTGGCCCTGAGCTAACATCCATGCCCATCTTCCTCTACTTTATATGTGGGATGCCTGCCATAGCATGGTTGCCAAGCGGTGCCATGTCCACACGCAGGATCTGAACCAGCGAACCCCGGGCCGCCAAAGCGGAATGTGTGCACTTAACCGCTGCACCACCGGGCTGGCCCCTGAAAGTTGATTTTAAGAGCTGCCCTCCGTGGTTCCCTCTGTCCTCGTAGGGGAGAGGCATTCCCTGCAGGCGATCTGATGGGCTGAGCGTTAGCGTGAGAAGGAGAGAGCAGGGCTGCCAGGCTCAGGAGAGGAGTCTGGAAGGTAGGCTGTAGCCATGTCAGGGGACGCTGGAAGTGGAAGGAATGGAGTTAGGGGGAGGGAATGGTGGAGCGTGTCTGTCCTTCCTGTGAGAGCAGTGCTGTTTGTGAAGCTGTGTCTTACCCAGGGGTTGGATTCTGAAGTTGACTTGCAAGTGTCATCTACAATCAAAATTTTCCTTGCAAGTCTCTTACATTGCCCTTGAGGACACATGATTTTGTGCGTATGTTTAAATGTTCAATATGGAGAGTAATGTATGTTATAGAAAAGATGACAAAATGTTACAAACTCTACATACGCGTTTGTACAAAATAAAATTTTATAGCACGCTTTTAATTATACAAGCAAAAGATGGATGCGTACGGGTGGACTGGGGCATGTTATGTGTGGGTGTGATGCCGCGCCAGTGCACGTGGAGCTGGGTTCTTGGAGGATTCCTCCATTGGAAGGGGTAGGAAGAACTGAGGAGCTGTTCAGGATAGGGAGGCCAGTGGCAGGGTCCTAGATTGAAAGGAAAACGTGGCATTGTCCTTAGTCGTAAATCCAGCATTTCCACCAAGGGGATTTCCATTTGATTCTAAGCAAAGATATGTCTATAAGCTGCCTTTGCTTGTACTTCGTGAGTATTTTGTTTGGGATGGTTGATGGACTGATGGAGACCATTGTGGAGTCAGGGGGAGGTAAATCGTGTTTCCAGTTGATCCCAGCACCTACCCCAGCCATCTTCCATACTTGTGCATGTCCTCCACCTCTTTCCACATGCATTATTTTTCTCAGTGAGAAAGGAGAGTTGCTGTTTGCTTGTCTCTGTCGTGAGTTGCAGGATCCCTGGAAACCATCTTCCTCCATGTGCTAAGCGGCTTTCTTTTATTTCCACTAGGCTGTGAAGGATACAGCCACATCCAGAGCAGTGCTGTTTGGGACCTCAGCTTTTATCCCCGAAGTCTTCTCCTATTTTTTTAAAAGGTAAGAGGTACACTCATCTCCCTGGGGAGGAATAAATATTTTGATAGTCAACATCCTTATAAAACTTGTCAAATCCTGACCTTGGTGGGAGGGGCAGGAAGAAGTCGCTTCAGTAATCTTCCTGCTAAACTCTCTTCCTCACAGTTAAGACGGCAGGATTGACTCGGGGCTGGCATGGAAATCCGGGTGTGCTTATTCCAGCAAACCTGGAAGGCTCCAGGCCCTGTCCTCGTCAGCTCTGTGTTCTTGGGCACGTCCCAGCACCTGCTGAGGCAGGTTTCTGCCCTTCTAGAATGATGAGTTTGGGTGATCTGCAGGTTCTCCCAGCTCGGAGGTGCTGTGAATATCGCTCAAGCCTCTTTCCCCTTCACGCCAGGCATGTGTTAAATGAGCTTAAGAGGCCCAGGATCAGTAGACCGTCATCCCTTTTGAGAAGAAGAGATGGCCTGTGCGGAGGAGGGCCCGGGGATCAGCCAGTATGAGAAGCGCACTTGCAGTAGCTTAGATGGAAGGGAGATGTGCTGGTTTCATTACCGGGTCCAGGCAGGGAGCGTTGCCTGTGGCGGCTGAGCAGGAGCTCCAGGGCAGAGACAGCCCTCTCTTCTCCTTCATGGGTGTCAGCTTCCTTCTCTCCTGCCACACATTGGCTTCTCCTGACACCTCCCAGCTCGTCTCCTCACAGGGTCCTGATGAGAAATAGCCACGCAGCAAGCCCCTCCCCATCCCAGGGGAGGCAAAGACCGTCTTCCACTCAGTTCAGAAACTCCTAGGGAGGGATTCTACTGGCCCAGGTGGGGTCTCCTGCCTGCTGCTGACCAGTCCACTCTGTCCAGCGTGGGGAGCTGGGAAGCCTCTGCTAGGACCACATAAGGAGCACGTTTTCAGGAAGTAGCTGCATCCTGCGCCAAGCCAACTGTTACTTCCCATGTCGATCCAGCTGGATGGGTGTGGAGACTTCTCGGTCAGGGTCTTCCTGAACCACTCTGGCTGGCCTCAGAGCTGGGGCTGCTGGGAAAGCTGGGGCCCTCTGGTCTGCCTCTTGAGGCCTATGTAATGGCGCCAGCTGCATGGTGGGGAGATATGGTCCTCATTTCCCAGAGGGTCTTGGGGTGCCCAGAAGGACCGTGTGCCATCCCACAGCCATGACAGTATCCAAGCTGGAGTGACTTCAGTCTCTCCCCTGACTCACCTGCTCCCTTTTGCATCTGAAAAAATCCAAGGCTCAGAGGGGAAAGTGACTTGCCCGAGAGCACATGGTCAGTCAGTGGCAGAGCCCCAACCGAACCCCATAACCCTGGGTCTCTGACTCCAGGCTGAGAGTCTTTGCATCTTCCCACACTGTCTCTTGCACTCTTAAAGGTCAGGGTCAGAATGTCACATGTGTGTCAGCACTGCCCAGGTGGAGAGTACGGGCTCTAGTATCTGACCTCTCACTTTTGAGCTGGGGGATTTTGGACAAGGGACTGAGCTGGTCAGTGGCTGTATTCTCTTGTTTGTATAAAGGAGGTGATGGTAACACAAGCCTCATAGGGGTTTTGGAGGATCAAAAGAGCAAATGGGGGGCCGGCCCTGTGGTTGAGTGGTTAAATTCACACTCTCCACTTCAGCTGCCCAGGGTTTTGCCGGTTCAGATCCTGGGTGCAGACATGGCACCACTCGTTAGGCCACGCTGAGGTGGTGTCCCACATGCCACAGCTAGAAGCACCCACAACTAAAAAAAATATATATATACAACTATGTACTGGGGGGATTTGGGGAGAAAAAGCAGAACAACAACAAAGAAAGATTGGCAACAGTTGTTAGCTCAGGTGCCAATCTTTAAAAAAAAAAAGAGCAAATGGGTGTGAAATGCTTAACCCTGGGCCTGCCACGTAGCAAGTGCTCTGTCATGAGCTGCTAGTGTTTCCACTTCTCTGGGTGAGTGGGAACCAGGCGTGGGCCTATAGCTGCATGCGAGACAATGGCCACCATTGGAGTGGAGGGCCAGCCTCTAAACAAAGCTCTGTCCCCTTGTCTCTTACAGGACCCAGTTTTTCCAGCAGTATCCATGGTCACTGTGGACCTTAAAGCTGTCTTGTACCATCTTGGTGATGGGGCTCATGGTGCCAGTCTCCTTTAGTATATTCCCGCAAACCGGACAGGTAAGCGCTCCCTTCTTTTCTCAAAAATATAACTTTATCCCCTCTCATGATAAGAGTAAAAGAGATTATTCTCCTTCTAAAAAAATCTGCAAAGTTTAGAAAAGTATAAAACAAAACAACATTATTTACATATAATCCCATCGCCCAGCTCGCTTGTGCAGTCTTGGATTCTATTTTTTTTTAACAGTGTCTGGAAAGTGTTTTTCTGGGGCATGAAAAAAAAACGCTTGCGATATTTTAAGTATTCCATAATATTCTATGGTGATGTCCCATCCGATGGACCTTTGTGCAGTAATGGAAATGTTCTGTATCTGTGCTGTCCACTGTGGAAGCCACTAGCCACGTGTGGCTGTTGAGTGCTTGAAATGTGGCCATCGTGACTGAGGAACTGAATTCTAAGTTAAATTCAATTTAGTTTTAACTTAAGTACTCACATGAGGCAAGTGGGTGCGGTACTGGACGGCGCCGTTCTGTAGGCTGGGATATTTTATAATTTATGATGAGGCAGACGCCCTGGGTTCAGATTCCCAGCTCCTCCCTGACCTTGGTCAATTCGCTGAAACCCTCTGAGGCTCAGGTTCTGTCTCTGTTAAAGAGAGATGAAGATAATCGTATCTGCAAAAGGGCGTTGCTGGTGTCAAGGACGTGATTGATGTAGTAGATATTAGCAATTTCTGGCAGTTCTTGGCTGAAAATTTCAAATGCTTGTTTCTGTCACTAAGGTTAAAAATCCTTCATGTCCTCAAAAGCATTGGTATTTGTGGAGTGATCTTGTTGAGAACCTAAATTCTCTGTTTAGGTTTATAAAATGATTAATTCAGGCAACGTTACCAGCACCTAACATAGAAGTTTTAAAGTTATTTAGATAATGGCTATACTCTCAATGGGGGCCATAAAGGGCGGGGAAGGAGGGGTGGACAGCATCTCATTCAAATAAATTTTAGAAGAAAAAAATATTTTTAATCCTCACAGGCCTACTTATTAGAACACAGTTTGTTACGTTAAGATTGCAGTAAATGTGAATCCTTTTGCCAGTAATTCCTTCCCATTGCATTGGTGCTCTGAGAGTGAAGCGAGTGGCTTATCTCTAGGTTGGATCATTGACGTCTTTAAATCTTGTGGGGATTTCCCACCACCGTGATCTGGGCTCTCGTATTCATTCCACAAACACTGACTGTGGGCGTGCCCTGGCGGATGGACACTAGGTGCTGGGGTCAGCGGTGAGTGAGTTAACAGGGTCCCAGCCTTGAGTTGTGGTCGAGGCTGAGCAGTTGTGAAAAAGCAGTGACACGTGGCCACCACAGGCTTTGAGAGGGGAAGTGGGGGGTGGGGGAGCCCCAGAGCCCAGCTGAGCATGGAGCAGGGGTCTTCGGGAGATCCAAGCAAAGGAAAGGCCTCCCTTTCCAGTTTGTCTCGTATGGATTTGTCATTCTGGGGATTGGGTTCGTTTTCTTGTGTCAGGAGTAACTTGGTTCCTTACTCTGTAGTATCATTTTGGTCCTCAGCTAGTGGCCTCTTTCTGTGTTGGGGTCGTTGCGGGTGTGAGGTTGCGTATCTTCTGGAGAGGCTGGATCCAGGATAGCCTGTCGGTGGTCAGGATGAGAGGCGGCCCTCTCCCCCTTCACCACTACTATTCTCTGTTCCCCACTACAGGCCAATGCCACTCACTGGCCTTCTTGAGTCAGACAGCCACTGGGGCTGAACGGACGTGCTTGGGTCCTCCGGCCAGCAAGGAGAGACTCCCACACTAGAGGCCACTGGAGATGCGGTGGGATTGCAGTGGGATTGCGGTGGAACAAAGACCCGCACAGGGGCGGTGTGGGCACAACAGGGGCAGCGTCAGCATGGCCGGGATGGGGGCAGTGGCGGGGATGTGCCGGGGAAGGGCAGTGTAGGCAAAGGGAACAGCCTGTACACAGGCATGCAGGTTTGCTCTGGCACGGCCCACCTGGGACACTCCGAGTGGTCCAGATGGCTGGAGTGTGAGAGAGAGGAAGCTACAGGGTATTCTCACTTCTAACCAGTACGGTTTCTGTTTATCCAGCACCTTCTGTGTCCTGGGCCCTGTGTCAGGCAGTCAGTTTCTTGTCTTCAAAACAACTCTGCAGGGTAGTCTTTCCCCTTTTACAGATGAAGCACCTGAGACTCGGGGGAAATTCCCCTGTAGGTTGCTCAGCTCTGGAGTGGCACGGCGAGGGGTGCCGGGCTCGAGCCGGTGAAGGACCTCACAAGCCCCTCAAGGTCGCAGAACTTGATTGTGGAGGCAGTGAGGCAAGTGTGTCTAGGGGGAGTGGCTGAGGTTGTAGTTTAGAGATACCACGCTCTGGATCCTTCACTGTGGGTGAGGCGGTCCTGGAGGCTGGGAGCATTGGGAGGTTATGGGAATATGCTGGCTGGAGGTGCTGGGGGCTCAGAGAAGGTCAGCGGTCGTTGGTTAGACAGAAATCCTTGAATTGGACAAGTTGAGAACTTGTGAGCATTCAGATTGGTGGTAAAAGTGATGAAGAAAAAGGGATCCAGGGGCCACCCAGATTTCTGGCTCAGGCCTGATGCCAGTGGCCGGGATGGAGAACCCCAGAAGGAAGGCTCAGTAGGATTCTGTTTGATTGTAACTGAGATCCAAAATAGCAGTGCCTTGAACAAAGTGGAAGTTTATTTCTCATTCACATAAGGTCCAGCTGACGCAGCTGTGTCTCTCGGACTCCTCCAGGACTGGATTCCTTCCAGCTTGGCATGCCAGCATCCGTAGGGTTTAGCCCTCATCCTCAGGGTCCGGGATGGCACCATTCTCATTCCACGCGGCCACGTGGCACTGTGGCCAGAGCTTAGTCATGTGGCCGGGCCTCACTGCGTGGGAGGCTGGGGAGTGAGGTCTTTATTCTGGACCTATTTGAAATCCCGCTGCTGTGGAAGAAGAGCACAGATACTGGGGGCAGATGGCAGTCTCTGCCACAGGCTTTTGTGGGAAGGAAAATGTGTCACATATGGAAACAACTGTCACGTGATAGAAAGTAAACATGACTGAAAGGCTATGGGAAGATAGGGAAAGAAGAGAATTGCCAGCTGATCCAGGAAGCCTGCCTGGAAGAGGTAGCCTTTGGAAATGGATGAATCTGAACTGGCAGAGTTGGGGAAGGGAAGAGGGCATTCCCAGTGGAGGGTGCAGGAGGGCTGAGGAGTCCATCGTGCCCAAGTACATGTGGCTGACTGTGACTGGTATGATGCTTGGGGCCAGGAGGCGGGGCCTGCAGTGCCAGGCTGAGGATGCAGGCTCTACTCTGAAGGCAGCAGGTGGGTCATGCAAGGCTTGAAGGGGGCAGGAGTCTCAGAGGCCAGAGTGGAGGCAGGAAATGGAGTCCATCTTCCCTCTGAAGCCTCCTCTCCCCACTGCGCCCCCGCCAGCAAGTCTTGGCATTTGCCGACCTTGAAAATACCCTGTTGGTCCAAGGCGGGTACTGGGGTGGCTGAATGGTGGTCCTGGGCCGGTGGTGGCCCCACCTCCCTGTCCTGCCTGGGTGGCCACCTCCACTTGCAGAGAGGGCCTGAGGCTGTGGGGGATTCGGCTAGGCGCCTGCCCAGGACGTCTCCTCAGACATACCACGGGCTGCAGCGCTTTCCACGTCTGGACCCTCAGCGACCTGGACAGGGCAGCTCCGTTTCCATCAGTTGCCTCCGCCTGCCAGTGTCAGCTAGCACAGCGGCTGCTAGACTAGAGATGTGGCCGGGTATTGGGGGTTATTGTTAATTTTGTTAGGTGTGATAATGGCATAGTAGTTATATGTCAAAGTTTTTATCATTTGGAATTTCATACTGAAGTGTTTGTAGGTGAAGTGCCACGTCTGGGAATTGCCTTAAAATACTCCAGTAAAAACAGCCCACAGCTGGGTATGGGAGGTGCTTGGTGAAGTCAGAGTGGCCGATAGTGAACGGTTAAAGCTGAGTGACGAATATGTGAGGGTTCATCATATCCTTTATGCATTTGTTTCTATTGGAAGTTTTCCGTAAGAAAATTTTTAAGAAGTTAGGTTTTTTGCTATAGATTAGACATCTTTGAAAAAGTTGGACTATGATACAGATGCTTTCTGAAAATGTTTTTTTAAACTTGGCTTCTAAGGCAAGAAAAGTTCGTAATATAAATATTAAGAATTTAACTTTTCTTTTCAGATACAGTGCAGTATGCTGGAGAAGGAAATTCAGTCTGCAACGCAAGAACCAGAGCTCTTCTATAACAGAGGGGTGTAGGGGGCAGTGGAAGGTGGATTTCTTTGGTTCCTGCTTGAAAACCCGCTTCACAAGGTTTCCGTTTCGAGAGCTCTGCCAGAGGCCTTCTGGACCCCGGGGGTGTCTGCACCCGCGGGACGGCGTCTACCTACCAGGACCATCTCGAGGCCGGCGTGCCTGGGATTGGGAAGCTGGATGAAAGAAGGAAATGGGAGGCTGTCCTGTCTGACTCACCCCACGGGGTTGCTCAGGGGATGGGTGGTGTATGATTCCATTTTCTATTTGCTCGTCAGCCTGTGAGAGGATTCTGTGAAATTACTAATAAACTTGTCTAAAGTTGAGTATTTGAAAAAATAAAGGAGAAGGGTCCCCCATGCCCAGGGCACAGGCATTAAACCACTGGCCCATCTCCAGGTAAACATGAAACTCTGGTGAGCTGTTGAGGCCTCCGACCCCCAGAGCAGGCCTATTTCCCTACTAGCTTACTCCCGTTTTGGACAACTACTTAAAATCTTCACCACTCGCCACCCAGCTCCTTCTTTCTCTTCACTGGGAAACAACCCTGCCTCCTCCACCGTGAAATGGCCAAAGGCCATTGGCCAGCAGCGGAAGCCCCTGGCACCATATGTGTTAAGCTCCCGCCACCACAGCCAGCCTTCCCTCCTCCACGCCAGGGCAGCCGTGCCGGGGCCATCCCTTCCTGTCCTCAGGGCCTTGCTCTGAAGCCTCCATGTCCCCTCCGGCTCCAGCCTCCTCTGCTCCTTCCCAGTAGCATTTGAACTGCTTCAGTCACCTGCCTCATTCCTCCCCGCCTCTGCTAAGACTGCACTCACCCATGCTCCGCCCAGGCGCTGTACTGCCACTCTGCCGGTGCTCAGACCTGTCACTGGGCCCACATCCAGCTCCCCTGCACTTTATGCCATTTGACACCCGCTGGAGACCATCTTTCCTCCCACTCTCCAGAAATGGCGCCACCACTTACACAGTTGCATCAGGATCACCAGCGTCCCCCTGACTTACTCCTCCCTCCCCTGACCCCCATTCAAGTCTAGAACTTACTCCTCCGGGGCCACTGCTACTACCCCAGCGCAGTCCAACAGCATCCCCTGCTGGTATTGCTCATCTCGTCCCCGCCTGGCTCCCTCCAATACATGCTCCAGCTTGCTCTTCTAAACCACACCTGCTTAAAAGGCTTAAATGGCTTCCCAGTGTGTCAGGCTCAAGTCCAAATTCCCTGCTATAGCAGGCAAGAGCCTTTACCTTACTCATCTCTTTCCTCTGGAGCAACATCCAGTTCTCAAATGGGCTGTGGTCTCTTCTCTGGGCCTTCACACTAGCTGTTCCCTCTGCTTTGGGTGAACTGCTTATGCTTCAGGTCTGCCTTGAACATCAGTCACTCTCTCCAGGAAGCCTCACAGCAGTGAATTAGATCCTCCTACTGTGTGCTCCCAAAGCACTTACATGGTGTCTGGTACTTGTCACACTGCAGTGCAATGGCCTGCTTGCTGACCCCGTGCCCCCCTAAACTGTGTGCCATGAGAGCAGGAACTGCGTCTTGTGTATCAAGGAAGCCCCAGGATACAACACGGTGCACAGCACACACTAGGCATCCAAACATTTGTGTCCTGGAGAATGTTTCCAACACACTCTGCCCCAAATCATCAAAGACTATACCCGTGGCTTTCCGTTTTCCCTCGGGCAGAAGGATGGTTAGCTCCAGATTTGGTAAAAAGAGTTTCACAATGGCTTAAATGGACAAAAATCAATAAAAATGATCTATGAGATGGCTCCGTATAGCCACAGGCTTACACCAAACAAAATTAAAGAAGAAAATGTGTCAAGGCTCCAGGCGAAAGCTCAGCCACCGACAGATGACAAGGGAGATGTGAGGGCATCTTTTCAAAGGAGAAGACACTGACGCTAGCCGGCTCTCGGAAGTGGGGGTGGAGGGGGGCTGGGGCAGGGAGAGGAGGGGCCTGGACCCTAAACTTGCAAACAGGGACTAATAATCTCCTGCGCATCCGCAGGTGACAGAAGGGTTTTTTCTTTTGTTTGGAGTGTAGAGAATCAGAAAAAGAGAGCACAATTCTTCATCGGCCCAAAACTTTGTTGAGTATCAAAATATTTTCATTTTATTTCTGTATCATAAATTTGTAATTTTAACAACTTTGATCATTAGCTAATGTAGTAATACAAAAAACAAGGGAGAAAAAGATGTTAGTATTCATTTTCATAAAGTGCAGATTTAATCTTCAATTGTTTGCCTTAGTAAACATCTCATTTCAGATCTTCCCCTGCCACCACCCAAGGAGGGAGGGGGAGAGGCTATTTTTAATTTTCACTTAACAAACGTCTAACACCAAGAATCAATGAAAGATCCAATAAAGACGAGATTTTTTTGCAAATGTTTTTCTGGGTAAGATTTCTGAGGACAACAGTACTGAGGGTAAAATAACCTTTCATAATTAATATGAATACATACGATAAAATAGCAAGTACATAATTTAGACTGTCATGTTTGTTTTGCAATTTTTAGGTCTCCAATTATGAGAGAGAGACAAAACTGAACCAGAATGGTTACCTTCATGTGTGGCCACATGACTTTACTGAAGCTGTCTGAAGACATTCTCTGGTTTGGGCCCTTGCAAGAAGTCAATTCTCACACTCTCTTCCCAACTGCATAAAGTTGCTGTTTCGTCAGACGTTTATATTCAAATGGGCTTCTTATTTTACTCTACCATGTAAGGACTCGCATCTTTTTCAAAAGAATATTGCTAGCAACAGGGTTAACTGAAGAGTACTAATGGTTTAAGTTTGCCAAGTGCTTACCCCTGTGACAATATAAATATGCATTATTAAAGTTGTCTACTCAAGTATAAAATCTATGCAAAACCCTCATAATATAGGCAAAATGTTCAAAGGCCAAGAAAAAAATTTTTTTTTTTTTCTTTTACAAGAAAGTGCAACTGCAGGGTCTTTCGAATGATCTTCGAGACAGTTCTGCAGAAAACTTAGTAGTTTGGCTCAGAAAGTAGAGTTCCTCATGAGGAATCAAGGTTCTTCCTAGAAGAATACAAAGCAAAATCTCAGGCAGCATTCTGAAAATAAACCATTAGTTTGTGGCTACACAATGAGACAAACTGGGACTTAGACTAATGAAGGCTTTCGGATTAGCTGGGATGTGGCGAGAACTTGACAAGCTTTTTTCTCTTACTCCAGGATACCGGGCCGTGCTATAACGTTATATACGGTAGTTACAGCACTTGCTCCAACATGGATACAGGCATGAAGCTAATCAGAGGAGAAAATCAGAAGTGTTTTCATATGTTTCAGTGCTTTTTCAGGTCAGATCTTAATACTTTCAAATAAATCATTAAAAATATAACATTTTCTTTGCTACTTTCAGTATTTTACATAGTTAATAGATAACTGTGGTGAACGAGCTTGCTCCCCGCCGGCAGTGTCGCATCCTGCCCCCGGTCAGATGTTCAGCATTTGTTCGGCTGCTGCCAGATGGTAAAGGAAGTTTTCCGTTGCAGGTGGAAATCGTCTTTGCTTTAGCAACTCAAAATTGAGAACCAGCTTTTCTCCATCACCCGAAACTTCTGAAAATGGTGCCAGGTTGCTCAAGATTTCTCTTGTTTTTAGGGAAATATCCTTCAATAGAATGGGAAAATATGCAATATGTTAGCATTAAAAAATCTGAATAGTTGTTGCATTTGAATAGAATTCTTCCTGCTATTTAAAAAATTTTATCAGACTAACTTTATTATAAATTAGGAAAAATGAAATAAACTTAGAAAAATCAATATCATGGGTAATTTTTTTTAAAACCATTTGAGGCATTTTAAAGTGTCCAATTCCATGGCATTAAGTACATTCACAGTGTTGTGCAACAATCACTACTATCCATTTCCAGAACATTTTCATTATCCCAAACTGAAATTGTGTACTCACGAAATAACAAGGCCCTTCTCCCCGCCCCCCAGCCCCTGGTAACCACCATTCTACTTTTTGCCAGTGTTAATTTGCCTAGTCTGGGTACCTCATATAAGTGGAATCATACAATATTTGTCCCTTTGTGTCTGGCTTATTTCACTTAGCATAAGGTTTTCAAGGTCCATCCATGTTGTAGCACAGGTTAGAACTTCATTCCTTTTTAAGGCTGAATAATATTCCACTATCTGTATACACCACCATTTTGTTTATCCATTCATCCATGGATGGACATCTGGGTTGTTTTCACCTTTTGGCTATTGTTAATAGTGCTGCTATGAACAAGGGTGTACACATATCTATTTGAGCCCCTGCTTGCAATTGCTTTTGATGTATACCCAGAAGGAGAATTGCTGAATTTATGGTAATTCTATGTTTAACCTTTTGAGGAACCCTGCTACTGTTTTCAGAACGAACCTCTTCCTAAAGTCGTCTTCTGCCTGGGATAAGTAACCCGGCACCTGCCCCACAGGCTTCATCCTCTTCCCTGGCTGACATTCCTGTGGATGGCTGAGCACTCACCAGAGCTCTCACTAAAGTCACGTCTTGTTCTCGGTTTGCTGACATCCTCAAGTCAGTCAAATATCTCTGAACCCCTACAGCACGCCGGGCACTTTCATCACACTTTGTTGGTGTCCCTTCTTTTGCTGAGGAAGCCTGGCCCTGAGCTAACATCCGTGCCCATCTTCCTCTACTTTATACGTGGGACGCCTACCACAGCATGGCTTGCCAAGCGGTGCCAAGTCCACACCCGGGATCCGAACCAGTGAACCCCAGGCCACCGAGAAGCAGAATGTGCGCACTTAACCACTGTGCCACCGGGCCGGTCCCCTTCATCATACCTTATACAGAGTCACCTGTGTATCATTTTTACTCCATGAAAAACACAATTCAAAACTCAGAATTCACAACATTGTGAAGAGTCAGTGTTTTTACTCTAAGGTTGATGGAGTGATGGATGGCCAATGACGAGCCACGTAGTGGGAAAGGAGTCTCAGTGTTCAGGTCCTCAGGACAAGACCCGCCCACTCTTCCTGGCCACAGCTCGCCGGGCCACCAGCCCTGGACAGAAAGAGCAGTGCTGCTGGCGGGTCCCTGTCAAGCGCTGGGACCCCTCTCACCAGCACCCTTCAGCACACATCACCTCCTCAGAGAGCTCTGACCTGCTCTGTAATATTCTCGACCTCAGCCCCTCGTTCCTGTCACAGCATCCATTTATCACGGTTCACAACGATCCTGTTGTGTATATTACTCTCTGTCCATCTGCTCCACTAAAACACAGACCACGAGGGCGGGGGCTTTGCTCGCCCTGTAACCCCACTGCCCGTGCAATGCCTGACAAAGA